AAATAAAAGATAATTACTGAACACGCCGAAATTGAATGCATCGTTTCTTAATAAATCCAGGCCTGGACTCGGAGCCCCCGCCGCCTGCCCCTGCACGTCCCCGCCTCCTCCTACCCCTCCCCACCGCCCGTCGCATTAGCGGACACTCTATAATAGTGGCATTTATTAAGAGACCTGTTCTCCTCTCACTGCCCCAGCTTATGAAAATTTGATCATGTCACGCAGACAGAGCTGCATGGCCATTTATTTAGGACTGGATTTTTTTTCTTCTTCTTCTTTTCTTCCTGCGCGCTTTCTCTTCCTCCCCAACTCCAGGTCTGGGAAGACATCCTTGTCCCCAGCCTATAGGGTCAGGGTGGGTGACCAAGAACTCTGGAGGGAAAACGGACAGACAGTCGCGGGCAGGGCCTGGAAGTGTGTGAGACTGCTGTGCCTGCAGGCCGGGACCCCGGGCCACCAGAGCGATGCTGATTAATACACACAATAATCATACTTAATATATTGTCATCGTTGACAACTCCTGGCAGCGCCTCTCGGCTTGGCGGCCTGGGGAGGGGCTCTGCGCCCGAAAGTCCAGCTCCTGGGCTGCTCAGAGGCCCAGGTGGCCGCAGGCACAGGGTGTTGGCGGGGTCAGGGGTCATTAGGTGGTGAGGGGGAAAACGACGGCGCTTGGCCGCCGCTTAAGATTGTTCCCGGGCCGCCTGGAGGGCGCCGAGGGGCTGGGCGCTAGAATAACAGCGACATTCCTAGCCCGGGACAAAAGCTGGTGACAGGAAGGCAGAGAGCTAGTACCTGTGCCGGGGGAGCTGCTTTTCAGTTTGGACGTCTGCCTCGACTCTTTCATCCAGGGGAATATCTGCTTGGCGAGGGTGGTGTTGGAGCCGGGCCCGCCCTTGGGGGCCCCGCTTTTGCCGGGCGCGCCCCCGTTACTGCTGTTGCTAGTGGTACTGGTGGGTGCGGCGCTGGGCGGGGGTGAACCGGGCGGGGCGGACTCATGCAGCTGCCGTTGAGCTCCTTGCTCTTGGCGTGAGGGGCGGCGTTGCCCAGGGGCTGCAGCGAGCACGCCGAGCGCTGGTAGTCACCCTCCAGGTGCGTGGCGGCCTGAAAGGGGGGCTGAGGGGGGCCGTCGTAGCCGAAGCCATTGCTGCCCGGGTAGGAACTGTAGCCTCCGAAGAGCGTGGCCGGGGCGTTGTCGTAGTAGGTGGCTTTCTGCATCGCTGGGCGAGGCCCGGGAGGTGGGTGGCAACTTGCAAGGGCCTGATACCCTCACGACCGGACATTGGCACCCCTGGGGGTCACGTGACGCGCCGGACCCCCCCTTCTCTGCCCCCCTCCTCCCGGGTCTGTTCGGAGCGGCTGACCTGCGGGGCGAGAGAAGAGGCACAAAGGGGGAGAAGAGGACCGGGACTCGAATCCATCTTAAGAACTGAAAAGGGAACTGACATCAATAGGGTTTTTTCTTTTTCCCCTCCCCAACATCTCCAGAACAGTTGCTGGGGCCGTGTCTGTTGCCCAAAATGAGAGTTTTAGCGTTTAAACATTTTGATTTAAAAAGAAAAATGCCAGACAGTTTTCATTTCCACTTAAAAAATAAAGACTGTGCTCCTGAGTGCTTGCCTAGAAGCACAGCCCCTCCGAGGCACGGGCCACTGCTCCCTGGTGAGCAGCCCCTGCCTCCCCCACTTCCTGCTATCCTCCCCCAAGTGCGGGATAGGGTGGCTTGGGAGGGGGCCCTGGCAGGCTCCGAAAAGAAAGTGTCATGAAGCCTTCCTTCCGTGGAGAGGCCTCTGGTTCCCCCTCTCCATCCTCCTCCTAAGCAATCTAGCCCGGAGGAAAGCAGGGGACACAGGCTCGGAGAAGCAAGTTCAGGGATCGCTCTGGGAGGTCTCTCCTCCCTGCCTCCCGCACAAACAGGACACCAAGGTGATCTAGAAACTTCCTGAATATTTTAGCCCCCAGCCAGCAAACCCAGCTGTGTCTGTCCACCCTCAGCCCTGCTGCAGGTACCACACCAGTCTGCTGCGCCTCCCTCAGCCAGGCCCGGACCCCCCTGAGGCGCCCAAATGGAGCAGGACTGTTTCAATTTCCCAGGCTGGCAGGCTGGTTGGTGCCGACCATTTGGTCCAAGTCTCTCCCCCTTATCTCCACACAGGACAATTTCCCCCACCTTTTTCTTGACAGTCTGTTTACTTTGATTTGTCCAAAAGGAGGAGAAGGAGAAAGAGAAGGTATAACTTGCTACTGAGAGGAGAAAAGTGCCTTCTAACAGAAAATTATTCAAGCAAAAAAAAAAAATCCACAAAGCAATTTGAGGGTTATTTTTCTCTGGCTTGGAAACAGGGCATACCCCTGTTGACTGTGGATCCCTGAGGCAAAAATAAGAATAAAAATACAGTCGGTATTTGAATGCAACATTATAAAAGCGTGCCTGTAAAATAAAGATTCGGGTTAGCCGCAGGATCCAGTGTATTTATCTGAAACTTCTGACTGCATGCCCTGTCTCTGTTTTCCAATCCCTCTGGATCACTTTTCACAAAATCTCCTTCTGATCCTCTCTCAGGTCATGTGAGTCGGGAGAGCCTACACCCCACTCAGCCCAGCTGGTCAACTCCAAAGGAAACCAAAATTAGGAAAATAAAATGAAAGGAGTGCAAGTGAAGGAAGTCCCTCCCACACAGAAATCCCTGTTCTCAGTGGCACTGATTTATACTCAAAAGGGAGTCAGGGTGGCCCTGAGTTCCGATTGGTTTGTGAGGAAAAAAAAAATTGTTTCTGGAAATACACATGGGTCTGCAAAGCAGGAGGAGGGTCCTTCCAGGGAGAACTGGAGTTCACTTGACCAGGCTGACCCAAACCCTTTATTCTTATTACCATTAGCCTCTGATGATTTAACCAAAATTAGCTTCCGAGTGGCCCTGGCTGAAAGGGGGATTAATTAACAGGCGTCAGTTGAGTTTGTTATTAATAGATAGAGAATGAAATAAAAACGTTGGAGGGGGTGAGCTGGCTGGGCCCTGGCTTTATTTAGGCTAAGTGATTGTTACAAGCAGTAATCATGATGACGATGGCGGTAATAATAATAAAACAATAATTTGACTAGACGCCCGGGGGTCGAAATTTCTGCTGCTCCCCATGTAATAAACCCCAAACCTCCAGGACGGAGGCCAGGCAGAGTGTGAGACGTGAAGGAGCCAGAGACCTCTAGGAAGGAGTGGAGGCTGGTAGCGGGAACACAGGGCTGTGAAGGTTTTTGCACCGGGCCAGTGTTGGGCTGCTGATGCCGCTGCCACCGCCAGGCTGTCTGGGCGGCTGCCGCTCTCCTGCCGCAGTGGCTGGCAACCGGCTTTGCCACCTACGCCGGCCCAGGAAGGGGAAGAGAGAAAGGGATCCGCACACCCAGGTGGCCAGTGGCAGGTTCCCAGCACACCGGGTCCAGCGCAGGGTCTGGCCCCACGGTCACAAGTTTGGGTGCTGCAGGTAACCAAATCAAAAAGCGTCTGAATAACTTTGCCCAGCTGGGCTCTAAGCTGGAGGGAGCCTAGGTCAGGCTGGTGGCACAGTGCAGACGAGGAAGGTGCAGAGAGGTTCTGAGATTTGGGATACAGGAGAAGAGGGGGTGGGGAGCAGCTCTGCCCAGCCAAACACGTCTATTTCCCTTGCCTCCATGTTGGAAAAATTCAGGCTCCATATGGCTCCTGTGAAGGGTGGCAGGGCGACAGTGGCACCCAGCTTTCCCCCTGGGTCCCGCTGGAGAAAGGAGGTGAGCAGCCCCCAAGAACCCCACCTTGCCAGGCAGGGCCCCAGGAGAGCCAGGGAGGGTAACAATAGCTGGAGAAGCCCCAGGAGAGAAGACAGCCTTCCAGGACTTAAAAGATTAATGGAAGAAAAAAGAATGAGAGAAAGAAAGGTTAGGCTCTTCTTAGTAACCGGGGGAAAAATTCAGCCCTGGATCTTTCTGGCTGCTGGAAGAAAAGAGCAGAAAAGGAGAAGCAGAAAGAGGGAGAGGGAGAGAGAGAGGGAGGGAGAGAGGGGGAGAGAGAGGGAGAGAGAGAGAGAGAGAGAGAGAGAGAGAGAGAGAGAGAGAGAGAGAGAGAGAGAGAGAGTCAGTCGCTGCGTGGAAGGAAGCTTAAAGCTTGTGAACTCTTCTTGAACCGAGATTGGAGTCATATGGGCCATAAATCATTGAGACATACTCTCCGCCATTCACAAACTGATAGCCTATTTCAGCCCAGCTTACCTTAGCCACCGACGAGGGGAGAACAGGCAGACATAATATATATTCACATCGAGCCCCAGCGCGAGCGGCAGGCGAGAAATCTCCCCTCCTTGAAGGCAAAGGAAAAAAAGACCACTGTTTAAAGCTTCGTCGCCCCCCCTCCCCAAAGCCACCCGGGCTGCTGGGGAGCCCGAGGGGCAGAGCAGCCAGAGGAGCCGGCGCGGCGTCCGCTTCAATTCATTCGGCTTAGGAGCTGGGGGTGCGCAGGCGGGAGGGGGTGGGGGATCGCGGAAAAAAATAGAAGGCCGAAGGGTGCTGGGGCTGCCGGGCTCGCCAGGGACGCAGCTCCGGGCGCCGGCACGGCCAAGCCGCCACAGTGTGGTTGCCCTATAAGACTGGTACGCCCTACTCTTTGTAACAATGGCCTCTGCTTTTGCACAGGGAGGGAAAAAAAAAAAAAAAACCACACAGACACACACACACACACCACCACACAACACCTAACCCCCAC